TATTTGTCTTTGCGGTGTGTCATCTGATTTATAAAAAAAAGATCCTATTAAAGACTAAACATAGATGTAAACATGATTAAAAATATGTGCCATAATATTCAAATTTTAAATCTGCTATTAAAGTAGTGGAACAAAAAAAGTGAAAAATGTAATTTTTTTCCGAGTATGACCCTACTACGTGATTATATTATTAAAAGTTATCTCCTAACTTCTAAAAGTTAAGAACCATTCTATCATCAGCTGAGCAACATGAGATAGTGACTATCCCATCAAAAACATAAATGTGAAATGAAAACCAAGTTCAATATTAAGAATGCTTCGTTGTTGACTTCGCCGACAAAAGACTTGAAATCTTTTCAAAATCTGACTGAACTCAAAATCTGACTTGGCTAGTTTTCACGTACAGGCTAAATTATATTTGTATAATGAACTTCTCTCCGTTAAGTCAGTACCGCACCATCCAGCGGTACCTATACGGTATTAAAACGTCTGTCACTACCGGCCTTGGAGCGTATGACGGCCGGTAGCGAGGCCCGATGACTGCAATGAGAACCCGGCGCTGCGGGCGTATAGGCCGGCGCCTATACGCCCGCAGCGCCGTCATCGGGGGGATCTCTCGCTACCGGCCGTCATACGCTCCAAGGCCGGTAGTGACAGATGTTTTACCGCCGTCGCATCCTTCTGCGAAGACGTTATCTCGTAGAAGGAGGCGGCGGAGAGGGCCCGGGAGGACAACCTCCACTCGGACCCAATCCGTCGCCGTCATAGCGGGCGGCGGAGGCGCGCCTAACACCGCCCTGAGTGTGGCCGCGGGTGGACGGGACGGGTTTTCCCCTCCACCCGCCATAACGGCCAGCCGCGAGGAGGCGATGTCCGCGTGTGCCGGACGTCGCCTAAATGGAGAATGTATCCGAAGATGGTGCCCGCACCGTTGCGGGCAGGCGCTAGGAGGGGTCCGGATGTCTTAATTACAGCAGTTCCCGGATCCCTCCTATTACAGGCGCAGAGTGGCACACCGTGTGGTTTTACTCGGTTCGATTCCGACACATCACCCCGCCGCAAACCCCGGTGGGGTGACGGCCCGAAGGGGTTTCCACACGTAAAAAAAAAACAAAAAAAAAAGACTTCATGAGGATGAATGGTTTTTAGATCGACATTAAGCAAGGTGTAATGAGATGTAGTCAAGAAGAACTGTTCATGTAGGGGTAATATTCAGGCAAAGTGTACAGCTTAAAGAAAGTTTTTCTCCCTCCCAGATCAGAAACAATCGTGCCAGTTAGTCTTCCTCATAACTGTGGACAATTACATCGGTGTAGTGTACTTATTGCAAAGTTAGATAATGACCTTCCATGGAAAATCGCACGAACTCTAGTAAGTAAAGCTAACGCCTCTGCAGTACTTGTGTTAAATCTTAGTGACAGGCAACACGTGATTCATAAGGGAACACTGATCGGCACCTACGAAGATGTTGATTGGATGCGTCGATGCCAAGACCTGACTGCTGCATATTTTAGCAAAGATGCACGAATCAACGTGTCAACACTTTATGAAGACTGTCCAGATGTTTTGTCTACGGAAGAACGCCAGCAACTTTGAAAGACTGATGGAGCTAGTACTCACCGGATTAATTGGAGACGCCTGTCTGGTCTAATTGGATGATATTATCATCATGGGACGTACGTTTCAAGAACATATTGGAAACCTGGAACGCGTGTTATCGAAAATCCGCAGCGCCAACCTAAAGTTAAGTCCTAAGAAATGTTCATTTTTCAAACGGCAAGTAAGCTTTCTAAAAAATGTGGTTTCAGAAGAACGGGGCCAAACTGATCCGCAAAAGATCCCCGCCGTCAATGATTATCCAATAGATAAGACCCAAGTAAGAGCATTTTTGGGTTTGTGCACCTACTATCCTCGATTCGTGTAAAACTTTGAGGATATTGCGAAACCTTTTCATAAACTTACTGAAGAGAAAAGACACTAAAGTGACTACTGCAATTCAAACATCCTGAAGGACAAGTCGCGAGGTGGATTGAGCTATTACAGGAATATGACTTCGTGATTCAACATCGCAGTGGAAAATCTCTTGGTAACGCAAGCACTGTGCCAAGCAAGAAGTAAAGAAAGCTGTACCTGTAAGGACGCTAAAGACGAACCTTAGCAATGAATGGAAGGAAAGCCTACAACAAGCACAGCAGGAGGATGCAGATATCAAGCCGATTCTCGAGTGGATTAAAGCTAATACTCCTAAGCCTCACTGGAGTGATGTTGCGTCGATGAGTTTAACCACGAAGAGTTATTGGGCACAATGGGATAGCTTAGTCATCTAGGACGGAGTTTTGTGCAGTAAATGGGAAAACGCTCGAGGAGATAGCTGTCATCTGTAAATGGTTGTGCCTAAAGCTAGATAAAGATACCGGCTGTCCTGCAGCTCTACCATAACAGAAGTTCAGGAGGCCATATGGGAGTGAAGAGGACCTTGTTAAAGATAAGGGAGCGATTCTACTGGATTCATTGTCGTGATGATGTTGAAGACTAGTGTCGCAAGTATATCAATTGTACGGCCATGAAGGGACCCCATACACGTAGCAGGGGTGCATTGAAATTGTATAATAATGGTGCATCTTAGGAGAGGATTGCAATAGAAGTAGCGGGGCCGTTTCCCGAAAGTGATAGCGGAAACATGTACTTCATGGTTGTAATGGATTACTTCGCCACTCTCGCCGCTCTCTTCGCCATTCTCAACCAAGAGGCTTCAACAGTTGCAGATAAATTGGTGCACGAAGTCTTCTGTCGTTTTGGAGTGCTTTTAGAAATTCACTATGACCATGGAAGAAATTTTGAGTGTCACATATTTCAAGAGATGTGTCGAGTGATGGGCGCTCACAAAACCAGAACCATCTCTTACCACCTACAAGCGGACGGAATGGTGGAACGATTTAACCTGACACTGGAGAGGTATCTGGCAAAAGTTATGGCAAGTAGGCAAAGAGATTGGGACAAACACACCCAACCGTTTCATCTGTCATACCGAAGTGCAGTCCACAAAAACGAAATCTATGAGCATGTCAGACAATCGGGCCAACAGATGTCGGAGAAGATAAAAACCCGTAATACCGGAAAGTGAACAATAAAGGCTTCGAAGAAAGTTCGCTGGTGTGGCTACATAATCCAGATTTCCGAAGCTACAAGCCAAATGGGATGGACTATACCGAGTGGTGACAAAAATCAATGATGTCACCTAAAGGATACAGAAATATCCAAGAGGCGCCCCAAAGATAGTTTATGTGGATCGATTGGCGCTATATTATGGGACTGATAATGCTCGGGACGAGCATGTCTTAGGAGGGGGCAGTGTTGCGCCATAGGATTAAATAGTTCGATTGTATGAAATGTGGAGGATAGCGCCATCTAGTATCGACTTAAGTACATCTATTAAGATTGTGGTAAATACAAGTAGTTCTGATCCTTACAGCGCTAGATGGCGCTGCAAGTAACTAGAGAGATTTTTCTAGTAAAATTCAAAAGCGCTATAAAATCTGAGCATGATGGCCATTCAAGACAGTATCGTTTTACGACGCATCGAATTAACATCGGAGTGAATCTCAGTGCGACTAACAGGATATATAGTGATTTCTAGTTTATTATAGTGAGTGTTTGTAAATATAGTGCAATAAAGTAATTAACCGACAACTTTTATATATTATATACCACCCCACTCGTAACAATTTTATAAATTGAAAAGTTGAACTAACATTTTCAAATCAAATTCCACGCGAATGAGGTTGAAGGTATCAGCTAGTTAATAATAAAAGTCTTAACTGAATTACAAACAATCCAGAAATCCAAACTGAATATTTAACCACACGATTGGAAGACATAAAAATTTCAATTTTTTAATTCCGATAAAAAAATGAGGATTATTAAATTTTTTAGCCTGTGTCTGTCTATGGCACAGCTGTGCAAATAAATTATGGCAATTGATGTGGATACTTTAACTTATTTACACGATTGAGGAACAGTACCTACCTAAACTTTTTTCTTTTGACTTAGCAACATTGACGGAAAATATTCTGTAATTTCACCTTTATAGCTCTATGGCGCAAGAATTAATCAGATTGGTTATTTTATCTTTGATATGAATTAATCTGAAACTTGAAAGTGCTTTAGTTTTAAATACACCGACTAAAGACTTTTAGATTCAGAGACACAGAAAAGAATATAGGCAACATACTCCAAGATGCAGAAGATAATTATGTTTTATTTGGCTAAACCACAATTTTTTTACCTATCTCATACGCTTCGTGAGGGATATAATTAAGTAATTTGTGTATAAAGTGAATTTGGTACATATCTATCATAAGAAAAATTGATAATAACTTGTTTCATCTTTAAACATACTAAAAATGAGTGACTTAATCACGAGAAAGACAACCAAAATTCAATTTACAGAAGAAACAGGGAAAGCAAGTAAACTCAGTGCTCTCGATGAAACTCCAGAAACCGAAATTTTTACAGAAATAATCGTGCCTGAAGAAGGACACTTTGGATGGTTTGTTGTTGCAGGAAGTTTTATGTGTATTTTCATACTAGAAGGAATATTTTTCACATTTGGAAGTATTTACAACGACATGTCAAAAGATTTGGAGACCGAGATACCATTGGTGACATTAATAAACTCCATAGCAATGGCTCTGTACTTCATAGCAGGTCCTGTGGTGTCTGCTCTCGTGAACCGATTTGGATTTCGAACATGTACAATGATGGGTTCAATAATAATATCTTTTGCTTACCTTGCGTCAGCCTACTCTAGAAATTACATATTTGTGTTACTGTTTTATGGCATTATATCAGGCATTGGAGGCTGTTTAATTTATATGTCATCGCAGCTAGTGGTTGGTTTTTATTTTGAACGTTTTCGCGCCATTGCCATGTCAATTGCTGGCTTGGGGTCAAGTTTTGGCGTTACAATTATGTCTAGAGTTAATAACTATTTAGTTCCATTGTCAGGTTGGAGGACAGTTACACTATTACATGCTGGATTATTTGGTATGATTTATTTTATAGCCATGCTATTTAGACCTTTGCTTTCATTAAGCGTAAGCCATGAAAAAGAAGACATACAAACAGTTACTTATTTACCAAGTTTATCAAGAGTGGCTCTAAATGATGGGACGGAATCAGAACCTGTAGTGACTACCAGGACGGAAAAGCTATTTAGTGCAGTATCTAACGCTCATTTTCCTACAGTGGCTGACGTAGTAGAAGTTGAAGCAGATACTACTGATGCTAATGAACCCGGTCCATCATCAACGCCCACAGACAAACTAACATTTACAGCTCGTCTTCCGCAAGGAAACATTAGTCCAAGGCAGCTAAAACAAGTTAAGTCTATTTTGTCACGAAGAAATCTTGAAGATAATGAGAAAATGATCGAAATTACAGTTGATGATGTACAAGCTCATAAAAAGCATCATTGGTGGTCGCGTTGTTGTCATTGGGAACATCATGTAGAAGAATCTCGACCTATGTATAGAGACGATGCTTTCTATAACGGACAGGTAGAAAATTTATCAGTCTACAAAGAACATATGTTAGGTTCAAGACTAAAGAGAAAGTCTGGTTTTGAGTACCAGATGGCTGTTACCCGAACAACAGCTGCCGAAGATTTGGAAGAACGTGAAGGTGTATTTACAATAGCCATTAGAAGGGTTTTGGCGACAATGCTTGATCCTCAATTATTGAGCAGAAATTCATTTTTTATGGTATGCACAACTGGTTTTCTAGTTCACTTAGGAGTAATTATACCTTACATTTTTTTGCCAGATCGAAATAAAAGTGAAGGTATTGATGATGTTCACTGCAATTCATTTGTGAGTGTTATGGGGCTTTCTAATGCTGTGGGTAGATTGGTTGCTGGTTTTTTGGCATGCAAATTTAGTCCTATAAAACTATACAGCTTAGGTTGTATAATGACAGGAACAGGAATCATCATATCAAATTTTTATTTTAATGTATATTATCAATATTTTTGTTGCGTACTGTTTGCTTACTCCGCTGCGCACATAAGTGCCTTACGAAGTCTCGTTCTTGTAGACTTATATGGATTAGATAACTTGACAAATGCTACTGGCATTCTATTAATGTTTCAAGGTTTTGGAAGTTTAATAAGTACACCTCTGTCAGGGGCGGTTAAGAATATTTTCGGATTTCAATGTTCTTTTTATCTGGCGGGAACGTTCATTGTTATGGGTGGTCTTATTTTAATAAACGTTAAGCGTATAGTCAAAAGTGAACGAAGGGCAAAGGCAAAACAGATAACCGGTAAATACTCATCAGTGATAAAAAGGAAAAAGAAATCAAAATCTAAACAATCTGCAATAGTTAAAACAAAATAAAGATACTAAATTAAACTAACCGTTCATCTATTACGTACCTTGGTACCTATTCTGGTGTCAGCTACTCGCCCATGCGTTTACGATTATCTCTTGATTCATTTCCAAGTTCAAGTCAGTTCGTAGAGTTAGGTAGTTGTAAACTCCCTTTATCTTAGGCTGTGGCTAAATTAAGTTTTATGTTTAGCTATAGACGTCTCGTATGTGACGGCCGCTATTCTAATTTTCCAGTCATTTCTTACTACTTTTCTAAGTAAATACAGTATAAATCAAAATCATGAAAGCATAAAGTTCCTTTAGCATATAAGTATGCCACCTATTGTATCTAACTATAATTTAAGTAGGTTATTACATAAAAATATACATATAACACAAGTTTTGCTTTTGTTTTCGAAAGTAATATAGTACGTTGACCGATATCACTTCTTATTACGTTGCAATGCAATCTCTTTTTAGTGTTCAGTAGTTCTAACAATTATATAATTTCTCATAATACGTGCCTTAACTTAGCTCACAAACTTGTTATTAGAAATCTTTAATGTTGTGTACATATACTACATTAATTGCGTGTCTACAAAGTGGCAAAAGAAAGTATTGCAAAAGTATCTTTTATCGATGCCTCCCGTTATCATGATTACTACAGTCTAACAAGAAAATTATCATAGCTTACAGCAAATTTACCTCTATTTCCTCAAATGTATTTGGCATATTTCTTGAGAAATACGTAAATCCTAAGAAAAAAAAAACCGGTCAGGTACGAGTCGAACTCGTGCGCCGGTTCCGTACCTACCCGATTTTACGTAGATTTTCGCGAAAATTTTCAAGTACCAAAATTTATCTTAATTTTCAACTTTTTTTATTTTTTGAAATTATTCCTTTATTGGTACTGTAAGACGTTTCTTATTGCCAAATTTCGTGATTCTAGGTCAACGGGAGCTATCATATAGGTTTTCCACTCAAAACCTTTAGGGTACTTCCGGTTGTCCTAGAATTGTCAATGTTGGTTAAAAGCAAGGTCTTACAGCACAAGTAAAGGGTAAATTCTGAAAAATAAAAAAAGTTGAAAATTAAGGTAAATTTTGGTACTTACAAGGTTTTGTGAAAATCGAAATTTGTCCATATCTTTTTATCGTGTTGGCTCAGGACCTTGATTTTTATACACCTAATAGAGACCATAGACCTCAGTATAAATACTTGGTATAAGACCTGGTATAAATTTCAACTTGCTAGGTCTACCCGTTTCTGAGAAAATCGGTGGTGACACACGGACAGACGGAAAAGAATCTTATAAGGGTTCCCTTTTTACCTTTTGAGGTACGGAACCCTAAAAATACTTAGGGGCTTACATGCCGCTATCGCGGCGGTAAGACCCGTTATGGAGGATTGGCTCGAGAGGCATCACGGAACCCTCTCTTACCGGTTGACGCAGGTGATCACTGGGAAAGGATGCTTTGGAGATCACCTGCGTCTGATCCGCAAGGAGCCAACGCCTGAGTGCCACCACTGCGATGGCCGGACCGTAGACACAGCGCTCCATATGCTGGGTCCGGAAGGAATGCCCGGCGTGGGTGGGGCAGAGGTGTTGTCTCGTGGCGTCCATCGGAGTGGGAATTCTCTCGCTCGGTAACATGATTTCCGCCATGGTATGAAGCGAGAGTTCGTGGAACCTCGCCGTCTCCTTCTGCGAGCAAGTTATGCTTGCAAAGGAGATGGCGGAGCGAGACCGGGAGAGGTTTAGAACTCTCCCGGAGCGCCGGGCCCGGCAACGTCTTTACCATTACAAATGAATATTTTCTTTTCAATTAAATATTTTTTTCTAATAAGATTGTTTTTCTTACAAATTGCCAACGAGCAACAGTTCTTCATAGAGTTGTTGACGCTGTACCCTGTGGTAACCGTTCATTTTTTGGATTGTTTTTTTTTAATTTGGAAAATGGAACATTTCAGTTTTCATTAAGTATTTTTTCTGTCCGGGGATAATAATAAATCAAGAAAATACCTAAAAACAATGATGTAACCAAATATTATATCTTGCCAATTTAAAGGTTAAGAACATAAACTTAGTCTTAAGTACGTACTTCAATACCTTATAATCAAGCAAAACTGCGCTGTCATAAATTGGTAAGCCGTTATTATTTTTGGGGAGTACTACGAAAACCAACTCTTTCATAAAATTCTTTTTGTGTATCTTTTATACCAATAAAGATTATCAGTACTTAGTACTGTTTTTATTTTATTCATTCCAAATTTCCGTATTAAAAATTGAATATAAGTAAGTATCGATACTTTTCTAGAGATACCGAATAAGTATCGATATTTTATGCCCGATATTTTATAGAGTAAAAGTATCGATGCCTAAGTGGTATCGTTTTCGATGCCGCCAACTTGTGTGTGCCATCTGCGAGCTCAGTAAGACTGGTTGGATCATTCGTCCCGGTAATGTCTTTTACCACAAACTAATGGACTTGTTCAATGCGGAACTTGTAGGTAAAAATAATAGTAACTCCACACATCTCACACACGGCAGTCTGATCCCAAACTTGGCAGAGCCTACTATGGTAACCAGACTGCTGATAAACATACATATATATTTTTAAATGTATACGTATTATAGAAAAATTACCGTGACCGTGCTCATCACCCAAGACTGTTCCCTCGCTGCTTTCTGCCGCGCGGAGTGTTGTGTTGAGTTCGATTCCCACCCGTCCCGTCCACCCGCGGCCACACTCAAGGCGGCATGAGGCGGTATTAAGCGTGCCTCCGCCGCCCGGTTCGCCGGCGACGAATTGCGTCCGAGTGGAGGTTGTCCTCCCGGGCTCTCTCCGCCGCCTCCTTCTGCAAGATGAGGTCTTCGCAGAAGGATGCGACCGCGGTGAAACATCTGTCACTACCGGGCCATGGAGCGTATGACGGCCGGTAGTGAGTGATCCCCCCCCGATGACTGCAATGAGGACCCGGCGCTGCGGCGCCCAAGCCGGGTAAATTGCCGAGTGCTCACTGCAATCGCAGGGGTGATAGGCGGGATTCAATTGCCTCCTAGCGACCGAGTGCACCGAGGGTACTTCCCAAAGCAGCCGTGCCCGGAAAGGACCTGCGTCAGCCGGAAGGAAAGGGTCCCGTGCTGCCGCCCTGCCTTTTCGACAATGACCATCTGGAGCGCCTAAACGGCTGCAAAGCCTCCAGCCGGGACGACCAACGAGCCATCGTGGCTCCACGAGCGGCCTCACGCCACTTGCGTATCTCTTCGGGCGGGGGCTGACTGCCGCTAACCGCCCGGAACTCAGTCGTCTGCCGATATACTTCGGCGAGCACTTCCGCCTCCAAATCCAACGGGGGAGTACCGGCCAATGCGCACGCCACCTCCGTCGAAACGGCGCAGTAACCGCGTATGGCTCTAACCGCCAATATCCTCTGAGGGCGCCAGGGGCGTGCCCTATTCTGAGCGGTCAGAGCCGCCGTCCGCACCGGTGCACCGTACAGTGCCATTGACCCGACAACCCCCGTGTACAGCCGTTTCGTTGCGACCCACATTGGGAGAAAGTCGCCCTAGGGCAGATGCAGCTTCGACCAGCTGTGGAGCAAGCTGTCGGAAGTGCTCGTCGAAAAGCCACGTCCCGTTGAGGATCAGACCCAGATACTTCATCTGGGCCTGAACCGGTACGAGGACCGAGTTGACCACGATTGAGGCACCAGTGGGCGGACCGCGACGGGGCTTATATATCTTAGTAACTACTAATATTCTGTCCTTTTCACACCACTGGGTTTGTCGGCTCTTCGTTCTTCGTCCAGGCTGTCCTCTTATGGAATGCGCTTCCTCACGAAGTCAGGATGGCTACAAATCGGTACTCTTTTAAGACGAAAGTGAAAGAGCTATTGCTGAGTGAAATGGCAGATTTGTGGCAACATTGTTGCACATCACTATGATTGAAATACGTAGCATCATGACAGTGCAACACTATTGCCTGTCAGTCTCTCGTGTCTATGACATTCATTCTTTTAGCTTGCTACAAAATGGCTACTGTGACAATTGGTGATTATATATAAAAAATAAATATAAATCTTATTTCTGTGAGACACATACGGCAGTTTTATTGACAACAACACGTAAAATAAACTGGTGTACTGGCCACCGTGATTTCGGGCCTTACGACACTAAAGTGGTGACTCCCTCGTGCCGTCGCGTCGAGTTCCCGCCGGATTTGCATACCTACGTTTCAAACTGGACTTCGTGATCGAGTACTGCAGCCTCGACCGATAATTTCCATCTATCCTGCATTTATTGCAACAAATCCAAGAGGCAACACCCACAATCCACGGTTTTCAAAAACTATTATAAACGCACGTAACTCTAACCAGAAAAAACCGGGTTGCCTCGGCGTGCCGCTGTGAACAATCGTGCTTCGGTGTTTCTGTGTGGTACTCCGCAATCAAGACGGATTTTGCCTACAATTGTGTTCTCCGTGCTGAAATACATAAAGTCTA